CAGCAGCAGCAGATTACATAGCAGGGTGATGACCTCTACGGGGATATCCTGTAAGGTGTTAAGGCGGAGGCCATCAGGTCGGGGGAAGATTCTTTCATTGACGCAAGAGCGGAGGCAATATCGGACACGAGGATGGGGGACAAGAGCTCGTTCATCGACGGGCCGCGATGGGAATCGGCCAGGTCCGCAAAACAGTCACGCTCGAAAACCGGCTTCCATTTGCGTAGAATGTCCTCGTCCGAGAAGGAGCGCTCGGCAACGAGTCCCTCATAGGAGAGATCGCTGTCAAGGACCCTCTCGGCCACCGACTTCGGGCTTCTAGAATGGAGCCTTTGTAGGAATTTGTATACGGCGGAGCGTTGGTGGCGATGCCGCCGAATTCCAGCTTTAATAGGAGGTTTCGTGCGTTTGTTTGTGGTCCTGTTTTTGGGGAATACTTCATAGTAAAACGTGGAGAACCCGTCGGGCTCGCTGAGGGCCTGCTCGGCCTTGTTCCGGAGTAACGGATCGGAAATTTTAGGCAGGAGGCCAGTTATATACTCAACGATAGCACGAGAGTCATCCCGCTGAACGTCATCGGGGGGCTGTGCCCCCGCCGTGTCCGGCTCCTCATCCTGAGAGACCCGGGGCGCAGGATCGGCGTCACCGACAAGAGTAGTAACCTGCGGGAGGCATTTCCTCTTGGAGCGTATGGCAGTGATAGAGCGGCCGGGGAGGAGAGGGGCTAAGTCGGCGTCAGTTGTTCCAGGTGGCGCGGATGTCAAAACTTTAATCTCGGGGCCAGACCAGATACGGCCCGTCCTCGCCACGGGGGCCACTGGACGAGCCGGTGGGGTCCCCGCGGGGGTTGGGTCGCAGGCCTGGGCACCGGGAACCATTTCAGGGGCTGGGCACCGTCAGAGCCAGGACAGGGGGGCGGAGTTCTCAAGCGACCCGATGAAGGTCTTTGTAGTCCTTCCTACGTCGCCTGCAGACAACCTGGTCACTGCTACGTGCTAAGCAGGACCCGATGTACGTGTTGATGTTGTGCACGTTTAGGGACAACGCCTCGCGCTCTAGCGATACGTCTGAGATCGTCAGGCGTCCATCGGACGTAGGTGCGGGCGTTCGAGCGATATGAGGCGTCGCGCCGTCTTTTTTAGCTCATTCCACTGGTTGGGATGTGCTTGAAACATGTGGGAGGAGAGTCCGGCTGATCGCTCGAAGACACGAGAGCACACAGCGCAACTCCAACGGGGGGGGTCATCATTCCGATCTACAGGGACAAAAATTTGTTACCGCCAGTCGAGGCGGGGGCGGTCGAGGCCAGGTTTTACGGGGAACAACCAATAATATACGATCAGAGTGGGATGGCGACCCCACAAAGACCGGCGCATTTTGGAAGCGCGGACACCCCACATTTAATGTCTGCGGGGGACTCTTTAGCCAGGAGGGCTGTTACCAGCGGGACCCTATAGGAGGAGGCCCAGCACCATTCCCCCTCAAGGACCATCAAACCATTAGATAAGAAGGTCACAACCACCCGCGCCCACCGGTAGGAGTTAGTCCCTCTGCCGAGGGGTGGAAGGCGTTCCCTTCTGGCGCCGGCGGGGAGTAATTGCTACACACCTTGCCGATCAGGAAGTTCCTTCTGGCGCCGGCGCGGAGTATGCTACACACCTATCTTTGTCTCCGCTTTGTCAGGCAGTTCATGGGGCTACTCAGCGCAGTCCATGAGTACCTCAGCCGACGCTGTCGGGCGTGTCGCCCCGTCCGCGGGCGCGTGCCAATATGCCCATAGCATGCGCGCGGTATCACGTAAGATCATCCCAGAGATTGGACCGAAGTGCCGCCACCTTAATAGTTTGTTTGTGATGCAACCTGGTAGGACTGCTGTGCAGCCGCCCCGCGCCAATTGTAGGTGAGAGCAATGACCTTGATGGGCAGGCCATGCCCGAAGCGGTCTCGGATCGCGTCAAGAACGTACGGCTGATTGTACTTCGCGATCTTTTTCCCTGTTGCATGCATCCAGAGTGCATACGACAGAGTCAGGTCGTATCTGTACATCCAGGACAATTATTTCCTTCTTGGCCAGGATCACAAGGTCGGGCTTACGGAGGCCGCGCTCAGTCTGAAGCCTAGGTTCCATGATTACGTCGTATTTCTTTTCTTTCAGGATCTGTGCCACGTATAGGACGACGTTGTTGTGGCGTTTTATCCGGAGACCGCTAACGATGCTGCAGGCTTGGGCTATGTGGGGCAGGCTCATACGAGCATTGCTCCCGCATTTGCAGATGGTATCGACAGAACGACCACCCCGGCTGAGCCGGGATGGCGTGCCCATACAGCCTAGGCGCACCCTAATGGCCTCCTGGAAATCGTGTCCGGCCAAGTTGGTGGGGGCATGGTCCAGCCAGCTGTTGACAGCTGGTACCTTCTCATACCCCTGTAGGCCCCTGGTGTCCAATCTCCTGTGGAGATCTTCGACCAGACCCTCTCGGGATGACATTACAGATCCTCTGAATTTGTAGGACATCAGACCTCGCACGGCGGGATTAGATGCTATCGCGGCATCTTCCTCATCACCATACGACAACTGGGTTAGGCGGCTTTCTTTTAATGTCGAGTATAAGGTTTCTAGAGAGTTCACCCCCAAACCGCCGAATCTCGCGGGAGTGTGTATTGCGGAATTGGGACAATCCGCCGGTAGCCGGAGCCACCTGCGGACGACCCGACGAACTGCTTTGTCCCCTTTGACGAGCTCGCCCTTATGTAGTCGGCCGAATGTTAGCTGGTGTTGCAGTCGCGGGAGCAAGAATTTTTTAAGGACTATCAGCTTTTGTTGCGGTTTTAGAGCAGCGCGATTGAGACGGACCAGTAGTTTTCAAGGTCGAGCGGCGTACGGGCCACGCCCTTCCAATTGAACTGGACCCGAGGTACCGAAATTCGGACACGGCAGTCACAACTGGTAGACGGGTACCATCGACGGATATCGACACATCCGTATCAACAAAGCTAAATTTCCTCTTCTTATCCCCGCGAATGGAGAGCACACAGCATTTTCGGGCGTTAAGCTCAAGTCCAAGGCGGCCGAGGCCGATAGTCAGTCGCTCGATCCGTTTTTGCATTTCTTCCTGGGAGCTGGCGAATAGTATTAGATCATCAGCATACGCCATCTGATTGAGTACTATCGCGCCGATGGTAATGGCGTACTCCTCCTGTCCCTCAAGTATCTGATCCAGGGCTAGGTTGAATAGCCAGGGGGACATAGGGTCCCCCTGCTTAACCCCACGATGTTTCGGGTGGATCAAGTCTTTTCCAATCTGTAGTCTGCTCGTGCTGAAATAGGTTCGCAGATACCCCATAAGGAGGTCGGGGACCCCCTTCCGTTGGAGTATGCCCAGTATCGCTTCGTGCGATATCGAATCGAATGCCTTGCGGATGTCCACCGATGCGACAACTAAGTTCTCATGTTTGCTCCGGGCCGCATTTAGTGCCGCATTTAACTTGAGGACATTGTGGGCAACCCCATCGAGACGTTTAAACCCGACCTGGTCTCGATGATTAGGTAAGGCTGCCTCAAACCGACTCGCAAGCACCTGATGAAATATTCGCACAAAGTAATTCCCGATGGCGATGGGACGGAATTCAAGGGCATCGCCAGGCACCTCCACCTTCTTGATGAAAGTCACCCGGGAGGTGAAGATGTTGCCAGCTTTGCCCCTGGTGGGCGGCGGTCCTTTAAGCAGTAGCAGATTATACAGAAAGGTGATGACCTCTACGGGTATCCCCCGCAAGATGTTAAGGCGGAGGCCATCAGGTCCTGGGGACGATTCTTTTAGAGATGCAATCACGGCAGCGACATCGGCCACCTTGATGGGCGCAGCTAGTTCGTTCAACGGCGGGCCGGGATGGTCTCCGGCCAGGTCCGCATAGCAGGGTCGTTCGAATACCGGCTTCCATTTGCGCAGAAAGTCCTCGTCGGAGAAGGCCCGTTCGGCAACAAGTCCCTCGTAGGAGAGGTCGCTGTCGAGGACCCGTTCGGCTACAGACTTCGGACTACGCTTATGGAGGTTCTGGAGGAAGTTATAGATTATGGCACGCTGGGCGCGCCTCCTCTTCACTCCCACCTTCACCGCCGGCATCGCCCGCCTGCTAACGGTCCTGTTCTTCGGGAAGAACTCATTATATAGTTTGGAGAAACCGTTGGGGTCACCGATGGCCTGTTTGGCCTTTTCCCGAACCACGGGGTCGGGGATGTTAGGAAGAATGCCGTATAAATAGTCGGATATTCCCTGTTCGGATTCTGTCATAGATCGCTCGTACGGCTGGGGCTCGGCCGTGACCTGCTCCTCGTCCGTCGGGCCTGGGCCGCAGGTCCGACCGGTCTGGCCCTTTGGGCGACGAGACGCCGCCTTTCTAGATCGGATGGCCTGGACAGTACGGCCAGGAAGGAGAGGGACCAGTTCGGCGTCCGGGACATCGCGTGGCGCCTGCTGGAGGACTTTGATCTCTTCAGCTGACCATTTGCGACCAGTCCTTCCTTTGGGGCTTTTGAGGTCTCCGCTGGTTGGGTGGTCGTTCCTGGGGCTGTCGGGAACCACTCGAGCCCGGCTACCGTCCGGGCCGGGACATTGGGCTTCGCTTTCAAGCGACTTCAGGATGGCTTTGTAGTCGTCCTTCTTCCGCCTGCAGCTGATCTGATCCCTAGTGCGTGCCAAAAGGGAGTTAAGTACGAGTTCATGTTGCACGCCTTTGGACAACGCCTCGTGCTCTATCGCAGCCATACGCTCCAACTCCTCTCTCGTCCATCGAGCGTAGGTGCGGACGTTTGAGCGACGTGAGGCGTCGCGCCTTTTCTTAATGTCATTCCATTCTGCTGGGTGTTTCTTCCATATGTGGGTGGTTAGGCTGGATGCTCGCGTGAAAGCGCACGGACAAACAGGGCAGCTACAGCGGGGGGGCAAGTCTTCCGGATCGGCAAGGAAGTTTATAGAGTTTTTGGTGACCCACGTCTCGTGGGTGGAGGTCAAGGCTGATGTTTCATTATTAGTACCAAGTAAATCAATCTAAGGGGGGATGGCAACCCCACAGAGATCGGCGCATTAAGGAAGCACGGGCACCCACATTCAATGTCTGCGGCTGACGTCTGAGCTCTTAGCCAGCCGGGGGGCTGTTACCGGCGGGACCCGATGGGGGGGGGCCCAGCACCATTCCGCCCTCAGGACCAGGGGCCCTTAAGAGAGTCATAGTTACTCCCGCCGTTTACCCGCGCTTGGTTGAATTTCTTCACTTTGACATTCAGAGCACTGGGCAGAAATCACATCGTGTCTGTACGGGTCGACCGGCCACACGATGCTTTGTTTTAATTAGACAGTCGGATTCCCCCGGTCCGTACCAGTTCCGAGTCGACCGTTCGCTGCCGGACGAACGCCCCCACGCCGAGAGAGACGCTGAGCAACGGGCGGGACGGGCGTGCGTGCGAGCCGCCTGCGCGCGAACGCAGGTTGAGGCCTACACGCGCCGCTTACCCGAAGAGGGGCTGGAAGCCGTGGCGCTCCACGAAGACCCGGGCGAGGAGCCGTTTTGCTCGCCGGCCGACGCGCCGGTAGCGACGGGGTGGCGCCGCGAGCGGAGACCCGTAGCGCATGCGACACGCGAGCCGCGCGAAACGGGAAAGGGGACAGAGAAGGGAGCGGAAGACGACGATCGTAGGAAGCGGCGAAGAACGGATTGACTCGGGGTTCGTGAACGACGCATCGCGCGCACAGACGGACGACCTGATATGAGCCGCCCAGCCAGATGCACGAACGCGAGCGCCCGTCGCCCTGACCCGAAAACCGCCGCCCCATGCCGCCGAACACCGCCTAGCCCGACCCTGCGACCCCCCGACCCGAGCACGACCGCGACGCCGCGACGCCGACGGACCGCTACGACACCTTGAACCCGCGCCGCAAAGCGCGAACGGAGCGAATGCTACAGCCCCGTACCGGTTCCTCGCACCGCGCGGGCACGGCCCGACTGACCCGGTCCTCGGAGCCAATCTTTCTTCCGAAGGTACGGATCAATTTTGCCGACTTCCCTTACCAACATTGATGCCATCGACGAGAGGCTCTATACCTTGGAGACCTGCTGCGGATGGTGGGTACGGACCGAATCGATAGCTTCGAAAACCGGACCCGGATTTTCCAGGGCCGCCGAAAGCGCGCCGGACGCCGCCCGAGCCGCGGCGCTCTACAGGTACCTTTTCCGTATCTCCGGACGAGCTGATTCCACGGTCCTTTACGAAGAAGAGAGAACTCTTCCCGGGGCTCTCGGCGACGTCTCCGGGCTCGCTTGCGTCACCGCGGTTTCGCCCGAGAAGCGACGAGACGCCACCGACATTGCTGCCAGCAGCGCCGCCACCCCCGGGCACTCTCCGAGTCCGGGTTCGGGAATATTAACCCGATTCCCTTTCGACGGAAGGCCGGCCGCTCGTCCTTTGTTAGCGTCGTCGTCGTTTTGTTGTTTTCGAGGACAACAAACGAGTGTGACAGACTTACGGATCCGGCGCCTTTCGGGAAGACTTTCGCCTGCGTCTTAGGACCGACTGACCCGTGCTCGACCGCCGTTGGCACGGAACCCTTCTCCACTTCGGTCTTCGAAGGTCTCGTTCGAATATTTGCTACTACCACCAAGATCTGCACCTGCGGCGGCTCCACCCGGGCCCGCGCCCTAGGCTTCAAGGCTCACCGCAGCGGCCCTCCTACTCGTCGCGGCATCGGTCAGGCGCGCGCATCGTTTTCGTCAGCGCAAGCGCTCCTCGCCGCGACGGTCCGGCATCGGTCCGTCGCCCAGCGCCATCCATTTTCGGGGCCGGTCGATTCGGCAGGTGAGTTGTTACACACTCCTTAGCGGATTCCGACTTCCGTGGCCACCGTCCTGCTGTCTATATCGACCGACACCCTTTCGGGGATCTCATGGGCGTCGCGTTAGGCACCTTAGCCGGACGTTTGGTTCATCCCACAGCGCCAGTTCTGCTTACCAAAAGTGGCCCACTTGGCACTCGCATTCGTTTCTGCCGCCGTCGAGACGACGAAGGCGGCAGAGAAGTGGGACGGCTCCGTATTCGGGAGAGTCGACCCGTTCCACCCGTTCCGAGTTCGAGAGTAGGTCGAGGCCGTGAACGGCCCCGGGGCCTCCAATCGTTCGCTTTACCGGATGGAATTGCGACGATCGAACGCCAGCTATCCTGAGGGAAACTTCGGAGGGAACCAGCTACTAGACGGCTCGATTGGTCTTTCGCCCCTACACCCGGTTCCGACGATCGATTTGCACGTCAGAGGCGCTTCGGACTTCCACCAGAGTTTCCTCTGGCTTCATCCCGACCGGGCGTGGATCGCCATCTTTCGGGTCCCTGGCCGCTCGCTACGCCAGAGTCGGCCGAGTCGTACTCGGAGAAAAAAATTACCGACCCGGGGGTGATGCGCCCGCGCGCAGCGCCTAAACTCGACGACCTAAATCGTGACTAGTTCAAGCCGCGGGATCTCACCGGTGGGCGGTGGGAGGAAAGTTTGAGGCTGCACCCCGCCGCGAACGAACCCCCGTGAGTTTTCCCCCCGCCACAAGCGCCCGAGCCCCCTGCGTCATCTCCCGGCGACGGGAAAATCGTGGAGGAACCGATACGGGACGGACGGAGGAAAAGAGGGAAAACGAACGACGGGACGAAGACGGCAAGCGCCGGCGGAATCGGGCACGGCTAGGCAGGCGGAAGGAAGCGAGAAACTCCCCGCCGGAACCGCTTTCGCCGCGACACCTCTCCCAGAACCGGTGCCCTCCCACGCGCTCTCTCGCTTTCGCTGCGCCTTCGGGGTTCTTCGGGGCCCCTACGACTCGCGAACGGCCAGGACTCCTCGGTCCGTGTTTCAAGACGGGTCGGGTGGGTTGCCGATGCACGTCGCGGACCCGAGGTGACGGGCGGCACAGTGAGACGCCGACCTACCGCGCTGGCAGTGCCCTCCCGCGCGCCCAGATTTTGGCGTCCGGACGCGGAGAAGACGACGCGACGAGACGACGTCGCGCGCCGGCACGGGAATCGACTATCGATTATCCACTACTTCGTATATATGTCGGAGTTACCTCCTCCTTCAAGTTCGTAACCCTTTCACCAGAGGTCTCTCTTTCCTGGCTATAAATAGCCAATGACCCTTCAGCTCGATCTCTTTTTCACTTTCAGGCCTGGGCACTAACACCCCGAGGTAAATTTCTCTGCTCCCTAGAGGACTCTAACTATCAACCTCGAAATGTAGTCGCTAACAAGGGATAGCGTGCACACACGCACGCACACACAGAATATTCACACACACACGCACGCACATACAGAATATTCACACACACTTCGTCCTTCGTACTGTTTCCCTGTATTGTAACTTGTTATTAATATATATTTGTATATACACATATTATCGGTCTTGTTTTGTTTGCTTTCTTTACCTTCTACTTGGTTATTTCTCTTGTTGTTGTCTTTGTTACATTTGATATTGTAAAAATTGTAGAGGGTCAGTTTTAATTTCTATTTATAACCAATACAAATTGGCTGACCCTCTATATATATGATAACCGAAATGTTTCTACATGTGTTTCAATGTCATTTCAAAACTATAAATCCAACAAAGGAAGATAACAATTAACAACTGCTTTTAATGTATAATAACCTGTTTTCGGAAATATTTAATCAAATGGAATTGGAACTCGGCTCTCCGTTTAACAAATCCGAGGTATTATCCATTACATTAACCTCACATCATGGCTTACAGCAACTTGTATTCCTAAGCTGTCACTCACCTAGGTACAGACTAGGGCCGACATTGTTTAACCCTAGAGCACTAACCATCAATTAAAGTTACATCAGTACTAACCATCGGTGTATCATAGCCGATTTTAAAAATATAAAAAAAATATTAAATATAAATCTTTATTTGAAATATTTTACATGCAGGCAATTCAAACTTTTTACTTTGAGTTAACATTAATAGGAACTGAAAAACTATTTAGGTAAGAAAATCAGGTACTGAAAATTGTAATTAAAAATAGGTAAATTTGTGCTGGTTAGAGTTCAAGGGTTAATTTCGGTGATTGTAAGCCCCTAATTTTGAGGAGAGGCTCTTAGTGAAATGGTTATCATCAGCGAAAGTGGAATCGGGCATTTAGATTCAAATCCTGAGGCATGAATCTATATTTCCCCTGCACCAGATATGGAATGCAGACGGATCTGGAGCTTTGGTTGCCATCTTATGTAGAGGAAGAACATTCAATAAAAACATGTATATGGCAATTCATATATAAAACAAAACTGTGTAGAATTATTACCAGTTTGTCCTTAAGAGTAATGGTATTAAAAATAATTCTAAAATGGATGACAATATACTAATTAAGCCACATAGAAACATCAGTGGAATGTTATGACGTTTTTGAATTTTACAATACTAGAGCTATTTTTTCAACACACGTCAGCGTATTGAAGTCTTCACAGTATTTAGGATGTTTGAATTATCGCTGACATTTTTTGCTGAGGTTTATACACTCTATGTTTCGTTCAATTACGAAAACCAATCGATCTAATTTGAAAAAGCTGATTTGTTTGGAAAAAATACTTTGAGAAACACCCTACTAGGCAGTTTCATCGCACCCTTGTAAAATAAAAAACTACTACATGTTTGCACTTCTAAAAATTTGGTTTTGATCAGTCAATGTGTGGTTATTTTATAGGGTGTGACAGACGGACGGACAAATGAAAATCACAGAATTTTATATATAGATAAACTAAAAAGAAACACACTTTTGGTTTTAACACATACATTACAATAAAATATTTGAATATTTCTTCTAATCACTTTTAAGTATATTTCGACTGGATGTTTTTTTTTTTATCAGGAACATGCAACGGTATGGTTAAATTTGTATTTTCCTGCTAAATGGACAAGACAATGTCCATATTATGTATGCCTGAAGGGAAAATAAAATGGTTGAATATGAAAATCACTTCAATCGCTATTTCTGTATTTTCGGATGCCTGCAGCGTATTCAATAGTCGTAGAATTTAAGAGGAACCGTTAATACCTCCCATGCTATGCTCAAGAAGCGACAACAGATACTGGAAGGACCATAGGTTCAGCTAATATGGATAAATTTCTTTCTACATAGTCACCTAAGCATCATTGTTTGTCATTTTTTCTTTTCTTTTTTCATGTATCGAGACCTGCTAAGAACTTGTCACACCGCTGAAATACACCACGCAACCAATAGCTGTGCTCACAATCACTGTTTGATCTCTTTAAGCGGTCAGCAAATGTCGGCGATTTCAATGACAGTGATTCTTACGCAATTCCTGCCTGATAACATTTTTACAGACTGCTATCAACAATAAAAAAGCAAGTGTGTGATTCTTTAAAAATTTTACGGGGGTGCTGATAATACCTGGAGTACTAGGATCTAGTCAGTCAGTTATGTGCTATGCATGATACACGCTTAAGCGATCATGTATCATGAATGAGTTGCCATCCAAGACTATAGAAGCTGGTCCATCCTGCTATTTACCTATAGCTGGAAGGAGAAGAAGAGGATTCACAGCTTTTCCAAGATTATTAGCACGTAAGTGAATGTAATGTATTCGACTGGAATTCGAACTCGACTCTCCGATTCCTCAATACGAGCCGTTTTCCATTACTCCACTAGCATTTAGATTGAATGAATTGAAATACAAGATAGCATGGGTTATTATCGCAATATTCCGAATAAGTTAAGCACGGTGGAGTAACGGACTGAGGAACAAATCCACTCGAGGTCTTTACATTTACGTGCGTATGTAGTTGGGAAACATATGAATCCATCTCTTTTCCACCACTTATGGTGCTGTGACCATTTTAGGGCCAGAAATAAAGACACAAGAGAGGAATGAAGTTAAACAAATATGTTAACAGGAACAGTAATACAAACATATACAAATGAGAGTGCTACAACAAGAATGTTCGGTCCGACTGCCAGAGCTGACTGCTGGAAACTTCCCTCTCCAAAAGGCAGTACCTGCTCCTATTTATAGCTGGGAGAGTCCATGCGTGCGTGGGTAAATTAACATACCATATAGGTAAATAGCAAGAAAGCCTTGGGTGACAAGCCGTCTAGGAGAAGGAAATTTCTGAATTCAAACCATCTTGCAAAGGGTTGGGCTTCGTCAGGTTAACTTGCCCAAGACACGCAAATTTTACTGCGGCAAATGTACATGTGGTTTCCTATACGGCTATAAAGAATTCAGGGATTTTTTAATATTCCGAATAATAGTTGTCTTGATGTAATTATAATTATTATGTCAGGAGAATAATGTGGTATCATGTAACCCTATGCTAACTGCAGCAATAGTCAAATCAGATATTCTTGCCGTTTCTCTGCTTTGAAACACGAGGCGCCATCAAGCATAAGTGTGTTAGATTCTTTATTATTGTTCGTCTGATGATAACTTGTAGTGTAATTTTCACAGTGGAGGCTTGTATTTCACTAAGTCGGTCCTAAATTAGGTTCGACGTACAAAACGTCAGGAACTTGAAATAATAGTTAATGACGCAGCAATCTAGTTGTGGGGCTCATACTTTATTGTCCGACATCGTCTGACTCACACAACTCACTCAGCTTCACTGGCGACTACTACTACTACTACTTCTTATCCGTGGGAGAGTCTATTTACAATAGAAATAGGTACGTTCCGGTATAACATAACTATAAGCATTCTTTTTGTTTCAATGTCCCTTAAAATGTCTTTGTTGCTCCTGGTCTCTGTCTATGGAATTCCCAACATTTTTCAGTGCGAAAAATTAAAAATCAGTGGAAAAAGCCCCCAATTCTATAGACAGGTTCAGCAGCCGAAAAACAAGCAAACATAATTACCGATTTATATAAATAAAGGGCGTTCCAATAACTTTGAGCGATTTTAAATGTGAATTAAATTTAAGCCTTGAATTTTTTTTTTCTTTTTCTTTTAGATTTCACAACTTACGTCTTTGCCAATTTCAACCATAGAAAGATTAACAATCAAATAATTATAAATAGAATATTATTTAACCCATATTTGGGAGAGGAATAGATGTATCCATGCCTTTCACAATGGTACCAGTGCTAAATTGAATGCAACAGACTTGGCTAGGATTTGAACACGTCTTGCCGATTCCACTTTCCGCTTTTCTGCTAATATCACATACTGTACAGTAATAGAAACGCTGATTGCGCTATTAGATCTCTGATGAAATATAATGGCAGTTATTCTTCTCTTCGTGATCACTATTATCGTTACACACTTTTCTGAGTCTCTTCGTGGTCTTTGGTTGTCCCCGACCCCATTAGAGTTGAAGCACCAATGGCCACATGGTCTCACCGAATGTGGTCACTGAAGCATAACGGGCAGCGGAGAAAGAAAAGGCTTCCGGCCATGAAAATGTCCAGTAAAGATCTATTATTCTAACTTAACTCTTTGGCTAGAGGAGCTGACGCAAGGAATTTTTCCTGCATACGGAAACAAAGATGAATATAAAGAGACCTCAAAGTGAGCAAGTCGTCAAGCTATTGTCTTCACGAGAGAAGAACGCGATTAAAAGTAATAATAATGATTGATCATGAGAGATATAAAAGTACATTATAGATCGTTATCAATTCATACCAAGACAAGAGATGGCTCTCCACAACTTCTTGTGTTATTCAGCTTGGTGTAAAGCAAGATCTGTTTTAGTAAATCGAATATATAAGAAATAGAGTTGGTGTTTTTAAGCCCGACCAACTACCTAACGTCTGAGAAAATATTAAGACATTTTTCTCTCTTCTTTATAAAACCTATAATTCCGCCCCACACACACTCACATGTATAAATATCAGGGAGTATAATTAGTTTCCATTCGAAAGAGTGTTCCAATAACTTAGTCCGATTTTAAATGTGAATTAAGTTTAAGCGTCTAATAATATTTTTTTCTTTTTCTTTCAGATTTCACAACTTCAATCACGGAATGATTAACAATCAAATAATGTGTTAACGTTATCGAAGCGTATTACTAAAATGAGCGTTCAAACAGAAATGCAATGAGAAGTTCGCAGGTTTCATCATCTCTCGTAGAATCGAAGGTCAATTGGCCACTGGATGTCTTTAGATTTCTTCCT